TTTCATCATGCTTTTTCTTCCCTGGTGTCAGAGGGAATAGGCTTGTCCCATGCTGACATAGATTATGTTAAACCCAGGCTGACTGACTGCAGTAGAGAGAGAAGTTGTACCTGTTTAGAATATGTTTGTGAGAGTCAGGTGGATGCCTATATCAAAATAAATTAAATAAAAGGAGAAAGAGAGTTTCTGAAACTGAAGTCCTTACTCTCATATTGTAAGCAAGACAGCCAAGGAGCAAAGAGGGCAGTCTTGTGACTCCCAGTCAATTTTATATTTCCTTCTGAATGGAAAACGGAAACAGAAGATGAACAGAAAAATGAAGTCTTCTGGGAGTTGCAGTTCATTCTCCTATTCTGAAACCAAGAGACCAAAAATGTTTATAATCGATGGAAGTGCAGCATTAACTCTTTAACTCCTAGTGCACTGCGTAATGTCATGATGTGGAATACCGATGAGAAACCATCAAACCATGACATTCTGAAAGACTGATTGGTAGAAGCATTCAAGTGAAACCGCTCTTTCTAGAGAAATGGAATAAGGCTTAGTTCATAGTTTGAGAACTCAGATTTGCAGAATCTGACAAATCAAAATCAACGTTCAGTGCTTAGTAGCAGAGGAAACCATAAACTGTTATTTTAGTGCCTCTTACAGTAAACAGCTTATGGGGATATAGTCTGTTAATCGTAATGCTTTCCCTTTGTGCTCAAAGATTGTGGCCTAACGCAGAAGTGTAAAATGATGGAATGGGGCTCTACGTCTCAACTGCATAATATATAATTCTTTGAGTGCACAATAACAGATGGAAATGTAAGCTGTAGTATCAAGAAAGGATATTCCTTCATTTTAATGTGGGCAGGCATGATGAACAAGTGCATCTCATTCAAAATATGTCACAGAATACTTCGAAAGCCAAAAATATTCTGCAGAAGACCACTTGTTCCACAATCTCTGTTTAAGAGATAGGTTTAGGCTGATTTAGAAACGGCATTTTTCTGTAACAAAATATTCACACCATGTTTCCCTCACTGGTAGGGCTCTCTATCAAACCACTTACTGAAGTGATACACAGCAATAGACTTTGTTATAGTGATACACATATATGAGAAATAATTCACTACCCTTTCTAAAACTTACCATCAGACTCAGTGGGCAAGTGAAGTTCTAAAGCCCCTAAAAAACAAATTTAAAAAAAAAAAAAAAGGAAAAAAAAAAAAAGGAAAAAAAGAAAAACAAGAACAAACTTTAAAACCAGCTGCAGGTGGTAAATGCAATCAGATGCTCTGTGTAGATTCACCATATAATTCCCCCAAGGAAACAGATGAAATCATTACACTGAGCGACTGCGTGCTTGGAAAGTACTGTTTGTAACAGCTATTCTAAACACTGGCACTAAAAATGCATCCTTCAGATGTCAAAATGTACTCTGCCAAGGAGTGTACGTGATCCTCTGGAACAAGCCATGGCAGAGCTTGGAAGTAACTGAACGAGACATTTGATCAAAGTGTTTTTCAGTGAATAGTGTGTGAACATTTATTTGCTACCTAACACTACTTATAATGTTCAGAAATACAATACACCCTGTTCTGCTCCCAGTGAATAGGAAGGAAACAATACCAGGCCCAAAACCTTGTACCTTTTTGAGAATAATGGGGGAAAATATGGTATATGGTGAGGATAGTCCCTAACTTGAGCTCAGTGACTCTGTCCTATTCACAAATAAGTTTTTTTTGTTTGTTTGTTTTCTGTAAGATGATGTTTTGGTAGGATGGCTATCAGAACAAGGGTTCTGTGACCACAGCAGTCACTTCCATACTATTCAGAGGAGTGCCTATCTGTCATTGATGACTGCCAATTATTTGGAGTGTTTGAGTGGTTAGAAACACTGCTTGTCAGCACTGTTGGCTAACCTCAGTCCAGCTACTAAGAATTTTATTTGGCTGAGATACTCCATCCCTGTGTTTGTCCCAGAAAAACATTGTGTGCCAGCAGCTCTTCTGCTCTGTGACTGTGGATGCTGAGGCTGCCATCAGCTTTTGGACAGTCTTTGTTTTCCCAAAGCAAATGTGTTCTGATTATTGAAGCTGAATTACTGAAGCATTTTGGAAGGCAAAGCTTCTTCAAGTTTCTTTTCTTTCCTTGTAAAATAAATATTGTCTGTCTACTCCAGTCTGCCAGTCTGCCAGAGTCTCTCAGCTCTGCTACAAAAGTCATCATGTCTGATCCTTTAATTTTTCCTCTGGAAATAACTCTTTTTTGATAGATTATCTTCAGGCTCCTAGCTGTTCTGAACATGGGTTTTCATGTAGTTTTACTTTGCAACACCAAAGTATAAAGGCTTGCTATAGAATTCTTTAGTATTTATATAACTCTCCAACAGGACATTTCTTTGTAGTAAGACAGTTTAGAAGGAAAGAGAACATGGATGGTAAAGTAGCAGTGCATTGCATGGATTTAGAATGGCAAAATTAAAATCTATCATTTAGTCACAAGGTCAAACTATTTCCATGAGAGAGCTGGGGAAAGACTTAAATCCAGCTACTTCCATTTGACACCAGTTTCTAATTAGACAATTTTTCAGGGGAGAATTTTAATTTGTAGGTTTAGTGAAATTTTTGCCTTTTTCCCCTTCAAAACGGCCGCAGTTTAAGGCAGGATCTTTAGAAAGGAAAAATATTTAAGGATGACAATGGATAGAAGTGCAATTTTAGCAATACAAAAGAGAACAGGTGTGTGGCATCTTCTTGTATTAAACCTGCCTTATCAGAAAATGGGAAAGGCTGTGCGGAGATAGATGAGTGGAGTTTGACTCAGAAGAAAAAGAAAATGTATATTTACTTATATATAGGGGGTAGAAGGGAACATAGATCTCTCACCTTCAGAAAATAACTATAATAAGTTCTTACTTAGTAGCTGAGAACAGAAGTAGGAGAAACAGAAGTGTGACCGGTAAAATGTGTATCAGTGTAGAACTGTTTCTGTTACCATCCCTTTTTGCTCCTGCTAATCTTAGAAACCATCACAGGCCATGCAGCTCCCTCGTGTGTTCATTCCTTTCTCAGAAGCTGCAGCCTTCACAGCGCACTGAAGAGTATATTTACGGACCTTGCAGCTTGGACTGATTCCATGTACACCTTTATATGGTCAAACTGGAATTACAATTAATTTGCAATGAACAGTGAACATGAATGATGGGCCACAGAAGTGACAAAAGGAATGTCTTTTCTTACTGCTGAAGATAAAAGGCTCTATTTATTTAAATTCTAGGAAGAAGATTAAGAATGTGATTGTTCTGATGCTGTAAATACAAGTCTGGTATCGGTTGGTCTCACACTGCTTTTCCATCATGAACTTGCTTTGCAACCTTTATTGAGGCACTCCCTTTTGTATCTATTCACAAATAGTAAAAGGGGAACAATTTCTACAGATGCAAGTCAAAATGTACAGCCCATCCCCTCTGTTGTAAATAGGCGGTTAATGAATCTGCTGCCTGTCCTACTGCCTCCAATGAGTCGGATGTCAGCAGGAGATCATCAATATAATGATATAGGTTAACATCATCAGGTTTTCTCCAGTCGGCCAGGTCACGCGCCACTAGATTGTGACAATACGTTGGTGAATGCACATACCCCTGTGGCAGGACCTGAAAGCTCCACTGCCTGCCTCCCCACGTAAACGCACACTGATCTTGCGATTCCTCAGCAATTGGGATACTGAAGAATGCATTGCTAGATCTAGGACACAATGATAGGTTTTTATCTCCCTACTCAATGTGTCCATTAGGGAGGCAATATTGGGTACGGCCACGCGAATAGTGACCTTATTTAATTCTCTGTAATCTACTGTCATCCTCCATGCGCCATCCGACTTTCGCACTGGCCATATGGGGGAGTTATACGGGCTGTGTGCAGGTCTTATAATGCCCACTTTTTCTAATTCCTGCACCGTTCTCGATATTTCATCTTGCCCACCCGGGAGTCTATACTGTCTAACATTAGTAATCCGGCGCGGTTTTGGCAGGCAAACAGGCTCATGTTTCGCATGGCCTCTTAATATTGCCTGCACTGCCCGGATACTGATACATCTCTGTCGAAGTCTGAACTCTCCCACAGTTGTTTGGAGAGCCAGACCCCATAGAATGTCTATGCTCAGGATGTATTCTTGGACTGGGGCAATAGACACCTTGTACTCCCGGGGTGGGAGACGCCCAACCCCCAGTTTTAAACATGTTTGGGTGACAGGAATAGTCTGTCCCCCAAAACCACCAATCATCACTCTGTCGCCATCAAATTTCCCTGGGTCTCCACAGATAACTGATGTTTCTGCTCCTGTGTCTACTAATGCCATAACTCTCTGAATATTTTTTCAGGACCAATAAATCATTAATTCTACATAGGGCCTCCGGTCCCATCTGGAGGCCCTACGGGGACTAACATCCCTTGTCACGCCATGAATTGTGCTAGGGCCAATTCTTTTGCTTCCGACGGCTCAGGCATTGTGGCCCGAGACACCTGAGGTGGCTTCTTTTTCCTGTTAGGAATAATAAAATCTTCTAGGTTCCATGTTGTTGTTGGAACCCTGTCTATAGCTCTTACCCTTGATTTCTTAGGGTAGCTCTGGAATTTTTGGTTGTCCTTTAGTTGTCTCCAGAGCTGGAGAAGGACATGGTTGGGCTGGCGGTCGATCTTAGCAAATTGGACCCCAGCCCGAATTAAATCATTAAACATTTGTTTTCGGGATACCCTGATGGGTCCCGATGGAGGAGCTCGAGTAGCCGGCATTTTGGTTTTATTTACCGGCAGGATCTCTGCTTCCTCCAAAAACCGAATATTGCGCCTAGTCCGCAGGCGTTCTGTTTCTCCCAGGTCGGCAACTAACTGGGCAGCCTGCTGGACTACGGCTTCTGATGCTACAAGGGGATTTAATATGGAGACTCGGGTGCTGTAGAGATGGGAGGGAGCTTGCTGTAAAATTAAATCTCTCATCCCTGCTGAAAATCTAACCATATCAGGGCCATCAAATGTGTCTTCATAAGTAGCCTCTCTTACACCCAGTTCGCGGATATAGTTTTGAAGGTCCTCCGTGGAGGACCACATGCCTGTATGTAAAGGTATGTCCGATTTATTCGGCCATACCATACGGCAGGCCGCCATTAACCATTCTAGTATAGAATGGTTTTCATCACGATATTGATTACCTACGTATAACCTCTGTCTGAGAGCAGGATGGACAGCCATGGTGGCCAACTTGGCTATTTCTGGGCCATTCACCAAGACACTTTCTGCCCCAGAATCCCACAGTCTTAATAACCAAGCTGGCACACTTTCTCTAGGCTTCTGCCGAAATCGCTGTACTAAGTCCATCAATTCTGTTGCCGTGCATGGCCGGGCCGTTACGTGTAAATGAGTCTGGGCAGGGGGCCACTGATCAGGCGGCACCCCTGCCAGTCTGCCCTGTACTTTTTTTGTTTTCTGGGTTACAACAGGACAGACTTCTAGTGGATTGGTCAGAATTGGATATTCAAGGTCTGATTTGGATTTCTTGTTTGCCTGATCAATAAAGTCTGTTGATTCAGGAGTCTGGTCATCATTTATTGAAATGTTACGAATTTGGCCTACGGGAAGACGTAGAATTGGCTTCTTCCCTGTTAAAACGCCAAGTTCGTGCTCCAGTTTTTCAATGTGGTCTTTCAAAAGCTGACTTTCAGTTTCTAAAGTATTATTTCTTATATCCACATGATTTAAGGCACTTAATAGTGGCCATGCCACCATGGAGGCAGCCAGTTGCCTTTCTTTAGTGATGAGGACATCCTTGCCAAGTCCTAGAAAATAGTCCACCATGCGATACGGGGAGATATTGCCCATAACGCGTAAGGGACCCCATTTTTCAATGATAACAGCTAACACATAATAGGGGGATCCCTCAAATCCTGGGATGTGCCCTGGAATCATTTTCTCTAGAGGAGTATTGTTCTCCCCCTTGACCCATTTATAGAAATTCCAAAGAAAAGACATGATGTTAATTTTAGTATATTTGGCCTTCCTGGCTCACCAAGTGTATAATCAATGGATATCAAGATGTTAAAATCATAAAATAAACAAGAGAGTTAGGCAAAGTGGACAATGATAACAAAAGAGAATAAAAGGGAAGGCTTACCCTTCAGCTGGGCTCACCACAAAACACCAATAGAGGCGATCTCCAAAAGTCTGTGTGCGTGTTGTACTCTGTAGTCGAGGCTTTCTGCTTTTGGGAGCCTCCTGCCCAGAAACAGACTTTGTGAACTTAGATGATTTTCATCTGCAAACTTCCGAACAGACAGCTGGGCTTTCCTAGCCCGTTACTGTGAAATGCAGTATCCTTGGTGCAAATCCGGTGGTTTAATGGAGCACTTTTCTGTTGCAGTGCCAAGGGAAACAAATTCTCATGAAAACTTTCACAGTCAGTTTTGTCAAAGAACATTTTATTTTGCATCCCAGCCCTCTGGTAGTATATATTACTGTCAACTGTTACATTTCACTTGGGAAGTTGCCCTTTCAGACTGAGGGCTAGCAAAACGTCAGACTTCTCCAACAAACTAAGAGGGAAGCAGTGCCATGCACTTAAAACATCTTAGAAAAAGGATTTGATCCTAAGTATTTGGAAAAAAACAAAAACAAAAACAAAGCCAGAAACCCACAGCATTTTTACTACATAAAGGAAAAATTCACCCATTATATATTGCTGTACAATCAGATACTGTATCTGAATTTGGAAGCTAAGGAAACAAGAAGTGTTTTTCTTCCTATTACTTGTGATTTTACCAAATTCACTGTAGAGAATCACTGAGTCATAGAATGATAGAATCGCTCAGGTTGGAAAAGACCTTAAAGATCATCGAGTCCAACCACAACCTGACCATACTGCCCGAACTCGAACAACCCTCTGCTAAATGGTGTCCCTGAGCACCACATCCAAATGGTTTGTGAACACGTCCAGGGATGCTGACTCAACCACCTCCCTGGGGAGCCTATTCCAGTGCTTAACACCATTTATGCAAAGAAATGTTTCCTGATATCCAACCCTGGCACAACTTGAGGCCATTTCCCCTCGTCCTGTCCCCTGTCAAAATGAAGATCGCATTTGATGCTATACTTCTAGAATTTTATAATAAGTCTCAATCAAGAGAAGTAAACAGACATTCAAATGTTTCCATAGTTGCAGTTTTGTTGCACTGTGTCTTATTTGTCAGCAATAATGCAGTACATAAGGACAAATTCCAGTTTGACTGGAGAAATGAATGTTTTGTACTGCTTTCTGAAGTGGTATATATAGAATCTCAATTAAACACACACTGTAAAGATAAATTTCATTCCATGATTTCATATAGTATAGTTCCTATTACTGCTACGTGTTATTGCTTTCCTCTGAGTAATCATACCTATGCTGATTGTTAAATGCAAGATGGAAAACACGTCAATAGCCAGTGATTTGTTTGCAACTGAAGAGTGATCTAAAATCACGACATTTGTTCCTGAGTTGGATTCTTTCCCAATACGAGGTATTCCTGAGAGCATTTGTATTAAATGTTTAAGACAATATAAAACATACTGGAACTCATCTGAGAACTATCTTCATAAATTCATACCACAGCTGCAGTTGCCTGATGGTTTCCATTTCAGTCACACAAATCACGACTTTTGAAAAATCACTGCAAGGTTGTGACTGATATCAATTTAATATTCATATGTTTCAGGGAAAAAAAAAGTGTGTGTGTTACGGGGGACTCCTGAAGTTATTGTAATGTAAGACATGAAAAATGTTTCCACTATTCATCCTAGATTCACTTTGTGGCACACAATGAATGTAAACAAACTGATCTGTTTATTCTAAGCTGCCTTTAGCCTTTACATGAACAGGTACCAACACAGAAAACAGGCACCATCACAGGATCCCAGGACCCAGCCCAGGGCATGTCATGCTCTGTGAGGTGACACTCCTTGCTGTGATGTCACAGTTGTGGCTTTCACCCCTGTGGCAGCGGTGGGAGCGGTGGCTCAGTCCGCTTGTGGGACGCGCAGGAAGCGAACCCAGAGAGAGCGTTGTGTCTGTCTGGAGGCATCCTGCTGTGATGGAGCGGCTGAGAGCCCTTCGAGGTGAGGTCCCTCCACCTCTCTGGACACCGTGGTGCTGCCCGAGCACGTGTGTGCCTCCAGTAACTCTTTAGGACGTGCCAGCAGCACTGTCCTTGCTCTGCTGAGTGCAGCCGCCCACTGTGCTTTCCCCAGTACCCCAACCAGGGGAAGGCTCTCTCCTCTCTCCCCACTGACCACACGCATGTGCCAGCGCAGCCCACCCCGCGCTGTGGGGCTGGAGGAGCGTTCCTCCCAGAGCTGGCTGCATGCTCGGCCCTGGCTCCAAGCAACACCGGCGGCAGCTGCTCTGCTCTTTCCTTCCAGGTCTCTTTGCCTGTGTGGGCTGCATGCCCAGAAGCACACGTCGCGGGGAGAGAGGCAGGGTGGAAAGCCCTGTCCCCACCTGTGCCGTGACTTTACTGCTGCAGCGCCTGCAAGACCAGGAGGTGAGCTGGGGACGTCCAACCATCGGTCCTTGCCCTGGTGCTGGTCCTGTTGGTGCCAGGCCCCGGCAGCACATCGGCATAGCGATGGCGGCAGCGGGCGGCTCCCCGGGAACAAGGGCAAAGCAAAACGTGACCTATCCCTGTCCCCAGGGTGATCGAGAGCAGGCGTACTGCGAGCTGGAGCACGTCCTGGGGGAAGAGGACAGCCGCCCGCCGTGCGGAGTGGTGAACCGGCTGCTGGCTGAGGTGTCCCGGGACCTGACAGCAGCCCAGGTGAGGGGTCACTCCCGAAGGCAAAGGGAGCTGCCTGCCCATGCTGGTGTTCTGCTGGCAGACGGCGCTGGCTTAGCCCTTCCAAGGGAAGGCCTTGGGCATCTTCCTGTGCCGTGTGTCACCAGTGACTCTTTTTCAGGGCGTGACGGACAGCGTGAGAATGGCTGCCAGCAATGTCCTGGTGGCTCTGGCCCGGACTCACTTCTCCATGGTGATGGCCGAGCTCCAGGGCCACCTGAAGGCCACACGGGAGATGTGCAAGGAGTTTGTGCTCGTCACCCTGAGCAAACTCTTCAGCATCTATGGTAGAGTGCCCTCAGCCTCCTGACATCTATAACAACTAGGGAGAGGGGTCTCTCCCCTTGCGCATGATCTGCATAGAGCTGGGGAGTGCAGGGCTCTGCAGCCTCTTCTCCCTCCCTGCTGAGGCTCTGACCGTGCGCTTCTCCTTCCTCTCTGCAGCTCCACAGTGCATCTCTTTTGTGTGGCTGACGCTGGCCGGCCTGTGCAGTGTGGTGGGCCGGGTGAGGAGCGGCCGGACCCTGCGCACTGCTTGTGCTGGTGAGTGCCGGCCCCAGGGCAGGGGGGCTGGGGACAGCCCTTGCACCTCACCCTGCTGCAGACTCTCACAGGCTGCCTTTTCTCTTCTTTTGTTTTGTTGCGTTCTTGTTGTTGTTTTCTATAATTAATCACTCGTTTGCTTCTTTCTTTCTTTCTTTCTTTGTTTTCAGTTGTGAAACAATGGATGGATGGCATCAAGATTCACTTGTCCTCTGGAAAGCACTGCCCCTGGCCTGCCACAGAGAAAGAACAAATGTATGAGAATCTTCATGAGCTCTTCTTCTTTGTGGTCAGCAACTGGCAGGACTGCAAGGAGGAAGAGGTGAGCACTGCTGCATTCCCAGCCGGGGATGGCAGCTGGGGCATCCATGTTGGCAGCTCTGTCTGTGCCCAGCAGGCTGAGAGCAGAGGGGTGTCGAGAGAGTGTGGGCTGGCTCTGCAAAGGGCCCCAAACTGGCTCTGTGCTTGGGGCTGGATCTCCCTGCCAGGGAGCAGTCACAAGTCACAGCACTGTGGCAGGGAGAGCCGGGGATGAGGGTATGGGGAAAACCTGCCTGCCCAGGGAGAGCGAGCCCATGTGCTGCTGGGCACAGGGGTGTGGGGAAGGGGAATGGAAAAAGAAAGCCCTCTCTGTAGGAAGGGCAGACCTTCAGTCTTTGATGCTGGGCCTCTGCCATCCCTCTCCAGGACAGACAGGCTGTTCTCGGGGCTGTGACTGCCATGATGACTGTCCTCCTGCAAGAGGAGCTGCCTCGAGAGCACGTCTGGGAGCGGCTCCTCTGGCTCGTGCACCCGTGTCGGGAGATGCAAGACACCTGCAGGGTGGCCAAGGTAAGATGTTGCACAGGGCTTGGTGTGGACGTGGGGCCCGTGCAAGTGCCACAAGGGGTCAGGGGGCTGCAGGGAGGAGGTGGGCAGTCCTTGGAGAAAGAAGGAACAGGTGCTCAAGGGAAGTCTGAGGCTTGCTGAGCTCTTCGGTCAAGGAAGGAACAATGTGGACAGGAGCCAGGAGGAAGCCAAGAGTCACTGGTGCCCATCTCCTGGGGATGGGAGGCTTCACCACCACCATGGGGGCTCCTGAATCTGATGGGGGAGAAGAGGGCTCCGGGTGGGAAATGCCTGCAAATGATGCCCAAGCCCCAAGGCTCAGCTAAGAGCAGAGAGCCTCTCTTGGTGCTGCTGGGGGGGACGGACAAACAAGAACGCTTGTGTGGCAGCTTCTCCCAGCGGGCAAACCACTGGGAAACAGTTCTTCTGCTCTGCTCCCAAGTGGCTAGATGTGGCTTCAGCCCCTTCTTCCTCTGCTGGTCTCTTGCAGAGCCTTCATATGTTCCTGGAGGCCTTACCGGGAGTTCAGTCTGTCATCCCTAAGGACAAGTTTCTGGCCGTCACCAGTGCCGTGTTCTATCAGGTAAGGGGAGCCTATCCTTGTGTGCACAGCAGTTTCCCTCTTGGCTAAGCCTCAGGAGGACTGCAAAGCTCTGAGCCTCTGATGGCTGCTCAGCCTTAGCTCCTGCATGCCTGTGGGGCAGGCTTAGTTTTGTTTGTGTGTCCTCTTCCTGAGAGTGTCAAGAGAGACAGGAGCAGGCAGCACAGTGTCTTTTCCATCCTCAGTGCTCATGTGATTTTCTCAAATGGACTTTGTTCCCACAGCTCTCTGATGACGCCAAGCAGCACAGCGAGGCTGACAGAGCAGAGCTGACCCGCTGCATCCTGCTGCAGGGTAAGGAGAGGAGCTCTGGCGATGCTTGCTGGTGCTCTGGCCAATACATCTCTCTCTCACCTCACAAATGGGCACGAATTGCTCACTAACACAGCATGGCATTTCCTTCCTGCAGCCCAAATCTGCCCAGAGGAAACAGTCCTGTTTCTGCAGTCGCAGCTAGGCGATGAGTGGGAGGCTGGATGCGTGGCAGCCCTGGGTCTGCTCGGCACTCTGGCTCGCTCTGATGGTCAGTACCACGGGTCAGGACTTCCAGGGATCCCTTTTGCCATCTGAGTTGTGCCTCCACGCATGCTTCTGTGCATCTCTTGCAGAGCCCGCAATGACAGAGAAGCTGCCGCAGATTACAGAGGCTGTGCAGCGTGTGTGCAGTGACCCCAGGACCCGGGTGAGCTGTTAGGGGAAAGGAAAGCACTGTCAGGGGGGTGATGCTGCTGCCAATACGGCAGGGCTGGGGTGACCAGGGATGTGCTGGGGCATCGACCACATGGTCACGATGGCTCCTGTCAGGAGAGAAGGCAGAGTGGAGTGGTCGAGTCCCTGTGCTGTGCATGGAAAGTGCACAGCCTGGTGCTAAGACCTGGCCCTCACCTCTTCTCCTCTGCTTTTGTCATCTCTGCTCATGCCCAAAGGGCACCTGATGAGCAGGTGGCTTCCCTTGGCCTTCTGAGCAGGAAAATCACACCCACAATTGACCCCTGGCAGGTGAGGAGGGCCGTGCTGCATTTCACTGAGGATCTGCTCAGTGCTAATGCCTGGAGCTGCTCAGCCTGGGATGTGGTGGGGCACATCTTCTGGGAGTTCAGCCGCACCACGGGAAGAAGGGTAAGGACAGTGGGCAGCATCTTCCTTTGGAAGACCTGTGCAACTCATAGGCTGGCACAGAAGAACCGGTGGGGCCACACCTGAGCCTCCTGAGAGGCTCCTGAGAACTGAGAGTAACCAGTGTTTCAACACCACTGTTGTGCAGGCAGCCGGAGACCTTTCCGCCCAGGAAGCCCAGGAAGAGGGAGCTCTCCAAGAGCTGTGCATCAACATCCTGGGGTCACTGGATGTCTCTGCGAGAGGGATCTCCAAAGTAAGTCACACTCTGCCCTGCTGCCACTCCTTGCCTTTGCACCACGTGTTCCTCGTCCCCTTCCAACACCTCAGGTCTGTCCTCCAGCGTGCTCTGAAGGACACAAGACTCAGGGAAATTCAGAGTCCTCTCTATCTCCAAGTGGAGGCAGGAATGCTGACATGCTCAACTGCCTCGTTCCCTACAGCTCCTGTGGCCAAGGCTGCTGCTGTACGTGGTGCCAGCCCAGTACACCGGCATGCTGATCCCAGTCTCCCGCTGCGTCCAAGCCCTGGCCAAGAGAGGGGAGCTGACGGTGCAGGACATGGAAGATCTGGATCCCCACTTCCTCAGCTCCATGTTTCAAGGTAGGAGCAGAAGCTCCCCCGTGAGCTCTGCTGACCCATGTTAGCACCCAGAAGGGAGTGCAGAGGTGCACGTGGCAGGGCACAGAGTGTCTTGGAGTCTTACTCAGCACTTCTTTCTCCTTGCAGGCCCACTGCTGACTCCCCAGACACTGCTGGCACGTCTGCTGGTAAGTAGATGCTCCAGAGGCCAGTGCCACGATCCCCAAGGAGGAAGCAGCATGGGCGAGCGTGCCAGCGCCCGCCTCAGCCCTGGGGATGCCGTTCTTTTCCTAGCTTGCAATGTCATGGGCAATGCTGCTGGCTGCTCCTTGCCCATCAGGGCAGAGCCAAGCTGCTTTCCTCCTGGAGGAAGCCACTTCTCTTGCAGCAGAAGTGACCCTTTCTCCTTGCTCTCGCTCAGGTGGTGGCAGGGAGCCCTTCTGCAGGCAGCGAACTCCAAGCCGCTGCCTTGCTGCTCCTGCAAAACCTCCACAGCAAGATCCACAGAGCTGTGGGGACCAAGTGGGCTGCTGAGATCCCCCTGCTGCTGCAGCGCCTTGAAGGTAAAATGCTGGTGGGGAGGGAGAGGTAGAGTGGGCGAGTGCCCAAGCCAAGCCAGGTTGGGTGCAGCTCTTCTTTTGTGGCTTGATTCCAAGCAATGCTCTTTTGCTTCTTGTTGCTGTGCAGGGAAAGATGAGAGCTTCCCCAACTCTGAAGAGTGGGAGCACCTTCTGCTAAAGGTACAGCACTGTGGAGAGACATGGTGCAGAGAAATGCTTGCCTGCCTGCCACAAGGAGCCCCGCTCCCATACGAGCCACCACGGGACAGGAACAGCCTCTCAAAAGCTGCTGTGGAGCAGCTGCTCGCCTTTGCAGCGCTGCCTCTTCCTCTTTGTCCCAAGCCCAAGGGGGGGTCTTAGGAGAGGAGTAGTAGGTGGCTTTAATGGAGGGAATGCTGGGGGGAGCTGGGAGAGGGGCTGTTCTCCCAGGCACCTCTCCCCAGAAGGCTGCAGTGACTTGGGAACGCGGGAAGAGGCAAAGGGCAAGGGAACATTGGCTTCTCCTGTTCTCCAACAGTTCCTGAGGGCATCGCTGGACGTTGTGGAGGACGAGGCCTGGACCAAGGCCCTGAGCTGCGAGCTGAGCCGGCGGCTGAGCAGCTCTGCCAGCAGCTCTGCAGAAAAGGTGAGTTCCCCGTGGCTCTAATCAGCAGTGCCCAACTGGGGCTGGGGCTGAGGCTGGTGCTCTGCCCACACGGGCTGCTCATGCTGCTTCCACGGCCTGTGCCCTCACAGGGCGCTTCCCTGCAAACTGCCTGGGGCTGGCTACAGCTCTGCTCCACAGCTGCTCTCAGCGACTCCCAAGGAGTGTGGGTCCTTCCCATCTAGCCCTCTCCCGTAAGGTCAGGCTGCTGCCACATCCCAGCTTACTCCTTCCCTTCCCACGCAGACCTTCCTCTACAAGGCTCTGGGTGCCGTTCTGGGAGCTTGTAAGGAAGTCCTCCATGTCCAGGAGAAGCTGCTGCAGCACCTGGAGAAATCCAATGCAGAGGAGCCATCTGAGGCCCAGGTGAGCTCTCTTCTCCTTCAACTCTGTGAGCATCCCTGCTCTGTCCCTGGGGCAGAGGGCTTCTCCTGGCCCTGCTCCGGGCCTTTCCATCTCCTCAGTGCTGCCATATCCCCCAGGCAAGGACCAGCCCAGACACTGTGGCTGGCCGTGCCAGCAGGTTCAGGCCTGCGCCAACTGCCCCTCGTTCTTTTGTGCAGGGAATGATCTCTCTTGTCAGCCATGCTGCTGACAGCAACTTCCACACAGTCCTGGACACACTCACCATGTTTGCGTCCAGGCTGTGCAAACGCCGCAATGGGAGGATTTCCAGGCGCAAGAAGGTAAAGTGCTACAGGTTCCCATCTTGGCATTCTTCTGCCTTATTTTCACAGCAGCTCCTGCCCTGGGAGCCCAGGTGCACCGCAGGGCACTGGGGGCTGCTGAGCGAGTGTCTCAAGGCATTTCTCCTCACACAGA